ATGGAAATGGAGGAGTTTTGGGCAGGAATTGGCCGGATTCTGGCACTCTTTGCTCCAACAATCTTTGTTTGGATGCAGGAATTTCAATATTCCATGGAAATGGGGGAATTTTGGGCAGGAATTGTTTGGATTCTGGTGCTGTTTGGTCCAACAATCCTTGTTTGGATGCAGGAATTTTGTTATTCCATGGAAATGGAGGAATTTTGGGCAGGAATTGTTTGGATTCTGGTGCTGTTTGGTCCAACAATCCTTGTTTGGATGCAGGAGTTTCAATATTCCGTGGAAATGGGGGAATTTTGGGCAGGAATTGTTTGGATTCTGATACCGTTTTCTCCAAGAATTCTTTGGATTCATTAACTTTGTTATTCCACTGAAATGGGAAAGTTTGGGGAAGAAATGGTTGGATTCTGACGCTGTGTTCTCCAAGGATTCCTCTTTGTATCCAGTAATTCCATTATTCCATGGAAATGAAGGAGTTTTGAGCAGGAATTGTTTGGATTCTGGCACTGTTTCCTCCAAGGAAAATGAATTATTCTGTGGAAATGGGGGAATTTGGGGGCGGAATTGGCCGGATTCTGGCACTGTTTGCTCCAACAATCCTGGTTTGGATGCAAGAATTTTGTTATTCCATGGAAATGGGGGAATTTTGGGGTGGAATTGGCCGGATTCTGGCGCTGTTTTTATCAGGAATGTGTCGGGGGAGCAGCAGATCCATGGGCAGATCCGTGGGATGGATCCAGGTGGGATTGGCTGTTCTGGAGCTGGGAGTGCAGCAGGGAGCTGCAGGGGATGGGATCAGAGGTTGGATTTGGGGAAAATTCCTTATTGGGAAGGCTTTTCCAGCAGGAATTCCTGCAGGGACCCTCGGGGACACGGGGCAGAGGTGGCCTCAGGTCCCAGAGGATTTTTCCAACCTCAGGGATTCCCTGGAGAGGTTCAGCTCCACCCGGAGATGGGACCGCTCCCCGCTCCCATCCCAGCGCCCTAAAAAACGGGAACGAGCGCTGGCACGGAGCAGAAACGGGAGCCGAGCTCCAGGGAAGGCGTTATAGGGAATTGGGAGCAGGAGGAATTAAAAAACCACAACTCCCTGAGCAGCAAATTGCCCTTTTCCTGACCTGGGCCTGAATCCTGCCTGGATTTCCAGGCCCGGCTCGGGTGGAACAATGTCAGAGATCCTGCAGAGCACGGAGGGGAAGGATCATAATGTAATAGTTCCCCAAAACTCCCAATATTTGTCATTTACAATAGCGTTATCTCGGAGCTTGGCCCGCAGTTAAAAAGGCCCACGTTGAATAAACATTGAGATATTTATTATTTTTAGTGAAATCGACCTTCCAGTCACCTCGGTTTTATGGCTGCGCTGCTTATAAATTCCCAAAGGATTATTTGCAAACTCCTGCTCCTATCTGGCAGCCTTATCAGCAGGGCAGGAGTTCACATATTGTACCGGGGGGTCAGCCCGCGGTCACGGGCTTCCAGAGGGGGCCAGGCACCTGTAAATCCTGCAAATCCTTCCCTCGGCAACCAAGGCGAAGGACAACATCCAACAGGCACGGAGACTTTTCCAGGAAACGCTGAACTTTGTCAGGAAGGGCAGAGCAGGGGGAAAGAAAGTGAAGGAAGGTCAGGCGGGGGTTAATTGAGAGCTGGACCTTGGCGTGGTGGCGGCTGCGGGGCAGGACGGGCTCTCCTGGGATGTTTTATGGGATTGTTCATCCCAATTCCCTTCCTGGTGAGGAAAAGGCTGCCTGACGCTGTCCTGAGGGAGAGACGGGCGTGGATTGCTGCAGATATCGAGCAAAACATCCCAGATTCTGCAGGGTGTCTCCATCCCAAACCAGTCTGGGATTCCAGGAATGGATCTGGGATCCTGGGAATGGATCCCACATCTCCAGGGTGCCCCATCCCAAACCAGTCTGGGATCCTGGGAATGGATCCCACATCTCCAGGGTGTCTCCATCCCAATCCAGTGTGGGATAATGGGAATGGATCTGAGATCCTGGGAATGGGTCCCACATCTTCAGGGTGTGTCCATCCCAAACCAGTCTGGGATCCTGGGAATGATTTAAGGAGGGGACTGGGGGCAGATCCAAGGTGTGAGAATTTTAGGATCAGTTGCCGAGGTCTGGTTTAGATCCTGAGCTCTAAGCCCAGCCCAGGTTCTGTTCAGCCTTTTCAGGTTCTCGGGGATGTTTTATGGGATTTTATGATTTTATGGGATGCCAGTTCCTTTCCTGGTGAGGAATGGGCTGCCTGAGGGGGAGATGGGAGTGGGGAGACTTTGGATCTCTGGGAATTGGGATAAAACATCCCAAGTTCTCCAGGGCACATCCATCCCAAACCAGTCTGAGATTCTGGGAATGGATCTCTCATCTTCAGGGTGTCTCCATCCCAAACCAGTCTGGGATTCCAGGAATGGATCCCACATCTCCAGGGTGCCCCATCCCAATCCAGTGTGGGATTCCAGGAATGGATCCCACATCTCCAGGGTGTCTCCATCCCAAACCAATCTGGGATCCTGGGAATGGATCCCACATCTCCAGGGTACCCCATCCCAAACCAGTCTGGGATTCCATTAATGGATCCCACATCTTCAGGGTGTCCCATCCCAATCCAGTCTGGGATTCCAGGAATGGATCCCACATCTCCAGGGTACCCCATCCCAAACCAATCTGGGATTTCAGGAATGGATCCCACATCTCCAGGGTACCCCATCCCAAACCAATCTGGGATCCTGGGAATGGATCCCACATCTCCAGGGTGTCTCCATCCCAAACCAATCTGGGATCCTGGGAATGGATCCCACATCTCCAGGGTGCCCCATCCCAATCCAGTGTGGGATTCCATTTATGGATCCCACATCTCCAGGGTGCCCCATCCCAATCCAGTGTGGGATTCCAGGAATGGATCCCACATCTCCAGGGTGCCCCATCCCAATCCAGTGTGGGATTCCAGGAATGGATCCCACATCTCCAGGGTGTCTCCATCCCAAACCAATCTGGGATCCTGGGAATGGATCCCACATCTCCAGGGTGTCTCCATCCCAAACCAATCTGGGATCCTGGGAATGGATCCCACATCTCCAGGGTGCCCCATCCCAATCCAGTGTGGGATTCCATTTATGGATCCCACATCTCCAGGGTGCCCCATCCCAGTCCAGGGGAAGGTTTAGGAAAGGAGCTCTGGCAGCAGATCCAGGGGTTTCAGGCTCCGCTGGGCTGGTTGGAGCTGAGCCTGGGCCACCTCAGGACATCCACCTGCCGGTGGCCGCTGCCATCAGCCCCGTCCCCTCCTGGGGGAAGGCACCAAACGGGGCCGTTCTGCCCCAAAGAACGAACCCAGGGCGATTTTCCACCAGCAACGGGTCCATGTCCCCACGTTTCCCCGAGCCAGGCGCGGTGCCGGGGCCGCTTTGATCGATGTCCAAGGAGGAGAGGTGAGGCCCGGCCCGGCTGGTTTTATCTGCGGGAGCATCTGAGCGCGGCTCTCCGAGGCACGGGCTGGCTGAGCTTTACATAACAGAGAATGAAAAGCACTTTTGGGTTTCGTGTTTCCCGTAAGCTGCAGCGAGGCAGAAAGCAAAGAGTGAACCCAGAGCAGAGAGGAATGAAAAAAAAATAAATAATAATAAATAATAATAATTATAATAATAAAAAAAATTAAGCCAAAAAAAAAACTCAAGGCAGAGTGGGCTGCGCTGAAGGTGCTCCCAAAAAGTTGTCTGGGGGTGATTTAAGTCCCTTAAACCCCTCCCTGAGCGGGGCTGGTGCCTGTTAGTGCTCATTTGGGCTCTGCCTCGGCGGGGTGGGTTTTTTTAGCTTTGTGCTAATTGCTTCCCAATTACTTTGAGGTTCTTCACATGTTCCTGAAGACACTGGGATTGACACTCCCAGCTCTTTGATCCCAGCTACAAAGGGGTCATTTTAGGGGAAAGAACAAGTGTCCAAAAACAGAGGCAGCAGCGCAGAGAGAAAAAGGGAGCGGGTTCTGAGGTAAAAAACAGCCTTAAAACTGGAGCTGGTGGAGGGTTTCTGGAGAATCCAGAGCTGGATAATTTAGATAAATGGGAGCTGACAGGGATTTGCTATAAATTTGTCCTATCTCACCGCTGACATTTTTATCTGTGCTGCCTCTCCCCCAACCCTGGAGCTGCTTTGATGCACAAAATGCATTAAAAAGGTTTAAAAAAGAAGTGTACTGTTAATAACAACCCTCCCCTATTTCACTGAAAACAATCCGTGTAGGAATATCTTGTCAGGGTGGATAGTCTGTATCCATTCGGGACAGCTGTCCTTGGGAATTTTGGGGAAGGACAAGGTTTGTATCTCTTTGTGCTGAGCCAGCACGGCCTTGGGAGGAGAAACAAGGTTTTCTTTTGGAATTATCACTGGAATCGCCAGGTTTTGCTGCAGGAGCTGCTCAGGGGTCCCTGGGCTCCAGGAATTCCCAGATTCCATTGGGACTGGGAGATCCCGTGGATCCTGGTTCTCCTCCCAGCCCTGCACTCAAATAATTGTAAATCCTGCAGCGTGATGCTGCTGGTGCTGCCTGCCCGAATCCTCCTCCTCCTGCTTTTTGGGGATTGGGACGCTGCTCCCGCTCCCTTCCCACCCTCGGAGGGGCTCAGCATTCCCACCAGGAATATTTGAGCTTTGCAGAGGGGGCAGGAGAACGGGAG